GCTGCCGCACCCCCGCCGCCCGCCGTGAGCGCCCCTCCTCCCCAGGCTCCTCAGCCTCCTGTCGTCCAGCAACAGGTCCCTCCGCCCACGCCAGCTCCTGCAGTCGTTCCCCCCATCGCTGCGCCCGTGCAGTCCGCTCCGACAGACGATGCGAGTAGCACCCCGAACGCACCTCCCGCTAAGAAGAGCCGGACAAATACACCTTGGACACCTGCAGAGGAGCATCGGCTCAAGCAGATGAGAGATGCTGGTTCCAGCTGGGCCGAGATTGCAAAGGTGCGTTTGTTCGCGCCCCTCCGATGGAGAGAGTGCGTCGAGTAGACCATGGTTGACTGACTGAATATGGTCTTGTTTCGCAGACCTTTCCCACAAGAACAGAAGGAAGCGTTAAGAAGCATTGGTACAAGGTATGTCGTCACGCGCCCCACGCCTGATATTGGCATGACTTCGCATAGAGTCTGACGCTTGCTACACAGGATATGCACTACGCCGAGTTCGCCGAAGACGAGGTATGTTCCAGGGACCGCCTGCCTTCGCACCTCAAAGCAGACAAATACGCCGCTCTGAACAATTATGAATCTAACCGTTGCTCATAGAGCCAAGCCTTGATGAACGCCATCAAAGAATACGAGAATAACAAGTGGAAAGTCATTGGTCAGAAAGTTGGCAAACCAGCCAAGGTCCGTGCTATTTACACCTCAACCCTCCGTTCTGGTTGACCCCGTCTTTCTATCGTGGCGCAATGTGGGAACTGACTTTGGGGGACATTAGGCCTGCGAGCAATACGCCAAGGAACATTTTCCAGGTACGCACCTTCAACAAGGCTGCTCCAGTCTCCTGCACTGCTGGCCCGGAGATAGCTGTAGGCTGACTTGAAGTAGATCTGTTTAGCGCTCCCAAGCAGCGATAGACTCTTGTCTCTGGCGGCAGTGCACACATTGTGGCGCTGGTCGATGGACCTGGAAGCTCTTTTAATCCGTCAGTGGGTCTCTTACGAGCATCAGCGTTCACGACTATCCCGACTCCCATGCGCCCACACCCCTCTTGACGATGACTGGAATTTGTTTTCCAGTAACAGTACCCGGTGACACATGTGGTGTCCCGATCATGTCTTCATCTGCTCGCTTATACCACAGATTCCCTGTCTTCAACATGCTCGTCTTTGGCCGCGTCGGTTCGGAAAAAAAAACCCCCAGCGATGTATTTGACCCGTCTAATGCCCTCGACGATATCTAATCGGCGTTCTTTCTTCTTCTTATTTTTTCGTGCCGGCCTCGCGGCAGGCTGTATTTTCCTAGTATGAGGTTATTACTTCCGTCCTCTCACAGGACTGATCGGGAGGATTCTGGTCTTCAGGGAAAGGGGAGGGATTTTTCTAAACTGGATGGTTTTGTTTTTTCTCGTATGGCTTGGTATGAAGCCCTGGACCTTCCCACGGACAGGCTCCACGAAAGCCAGTGCCAATGATGGATTATGGGAGCCCCATGACAGGTTTCCTGGCCTAGTGATGCAGGTCTCTGAGAAAGCAATATATATCTCTGTGCGCTTTTGGTCAGGGCTGACATGATCTTCTCGCGTAAATCTGGGGCGGCTTTCGCATGTGATCGTGTCGGCGTGTCGGATCGCAAACCACATCAGGGTCATGTACTAATCTTTTGAAAACAAGGGTGTGTGCGGCGGGATAGTCACCGTGGCGAGCAACGCCCTGCGATGATTATCGCTTGGACAATGACAAGCTAGATTGGGGATTCAGGGAGAATGATTCTTGCGGTGGACGGGCTGGAACGAAGTATACCCTTGAATATAATGTTATCCTGTGATCTTTCTACCCATGAAACTATGCCTCGAACAGCTATTTTATTTCTCGCCTGCTACAGCTAACCACCAAGCCACCATGGATGAAGCTGGACTTCTGCAGTTGTCAGCTTTTCGTGGATTGCACGAAACACCTAGACGCATCAGTACAGACCATCTGGGTATTGACTCTACCCTACGTATTGCCACTCTTTGCATTTGCTTTTGTTGGCAGAGAAAGGTGGAGATTTGGGGTGAAGTTCAACTCAACTATCTCCATATTTACAAATACATACATGCATGCACGCATGCAATGCAGGCCAAACATGATCTATTTCAACTTGTGCCCTGATCGGTTCATGGGAAACACCACCATGTAGGGACGGTGGTAGTGTACCGAGAGTGGACCGTCTGCCAAGGAATAGGGGACGTTGGGGCCACACAGATGCCGGGATACCTATGCCTACGTCGGGGGACCCCTTGGACCGTCCTTGCGTGCCGATCTGGCGAGGAATCCTTCTCGTGTTTGCCCAAGGATATGTATGCATCTGTAGCTTAGCGCCTCCAACAAAGCATTACCCCCTTTATATATTAATATATAATATAGTACAGAAGAGCTCGTTCAGTATATCTCTACACAATGTACGTACATACGAGAGAGCGCGACTAGCCCATAGTATCTAGTCAATGGAGTGGAAAAGACAAAGATTCCGGCTTGCCAACAACGGCAACCTCGAAGAGGCGGGTTGGGGGAGAAAGGTGCCTTCGAGGTCAAGGTGGCCATAGTAGTGCATCCTGATCCACAGATCCCGCGTTTGTTGAAATGTCTGTCACCCCGAGTCTCCAGCCGACACGCAATGTACGCTAGGTACCTACGGTAGACGCCTTTCTCCATTCGAAAAGACAGAACGATCAATGTGTCACCTTCAAGGAATACCGAAATACATATGTAGAAGTCAGTCTGGCAAGTCCCGAGGTCTACCAGCGCGGGCGCGGGTCCTGTGGAGGTTAGGTCAGCTCGGTCAGGTAGCTGTACCCGATCCCTGGATGTTTGCGCCTTGGCCTTGGATGGGAGGTACCCGGGCCTACCTAGGTAGGTAGATACCTTACTATGTAGGTGGCTACTTAGGTAAGTAGGGAGGTAGGGAGGTAGGCAGGTACCTGGGATGGCAAAGTCCTGCTTGACGTTTTTTGCATGATGTTCGTGCCAGCTTGTTCTTTCCAGCTGCACTTGTCGGAGTAATTTTCTCCAAGGTGCCGCGCCGCGATGCCCGATACCTCATGGAAAGTTTACGTGTGCTCCCCGAAAGTCTCCCGCGGATGCCACCGCCATGCATGACTGCCTGCAGTAAACCTATTGCCTCTAGTTACTCGGGAGGTTTCTAGAGCCTCAAAGTACCTGTTCGTACTGGGTATACCGTGTGTTGTGCTTCGTATTTCTAGAGTATGCGTAGGCACCTTAGGTGGGTACCTAGGTACGGGCGCGGCGCAGCTGGTATTCACTACAAGTAGGTAGGAAGGTAGGTAGGTCATGAACTCCGGGCAGGTTTTTATGCGGAGGTATACTGTGTAGGTACAGCACATTCTTGTCATTTTGTTGCCTGTCTCTCTACCTTACCCCACCAAAACACGAGCTTCTTCTTCTTCTTTTTCTTCTTTTTTCGGCTTCTTCGCTCTCTTAGTCCTCAGAGCCAACGTCTCTGGAGCACCGAGTTTTACTGCAAAGCAGATCGATCTTTAGGCAGGCGGTTGAGCGGCGCTACCTTTTACATAAATTCTTTTAACTCTAAATAAGTAGGTAGGTACGTGATCCACTACCTAGGTAGGTACCTACGCTAGCTATAGCAGGTACGTACTGGACGCCGCTAACTGGGCAGTCCGTAACGTAAGCTTAAATGCCTACAGCCTACCTACTTTTAAGCATAGGCACTAACCTTAAGAAGAATCAACTTGTTCTTCAGTAAACGGCGTGCATTTGCCCAAGGTCTGCTTTGTTATAACATAACATGCTGAGAGTGGAGGTCTTTCGATATGCAATCCCAGAAGTTGGCGACGTGACGTCGCTGGATGGATTGCTTCCCACGAGCATCCATCTCGTAACTATTTGACACTGCCGAGGCCAAGGAAGGGCTGACTCCAAACTCCTCCTAGATCTGCTACGTATTATAGCTACCTACCCACCTACCGCTTATTTAGGCAGTGTACCTAGGTATGGTACCCAAGTGTGGGGAGGTAGGTCTTGTTTGTACAGTACACAGTACACAGTACACAGTACACTCACTATGGAAGGAGCGACGGAGGGACGCTACCAGGCTACCTAGGTACGCAGGGGCCAGCGGCACACCCAGATGTTCCAAGCTTAGAGAACGTCGCGGGTTGGTGGAATAGAAATACAGATTCAATAATCAAGGTCTTCAAACTAAACAGACAGGGCGAGCCGTTGGAGCTACCGCAGTTATCTCAGGCTTGCTGCGGCGGCGGCGGCGGCGGCGGGGAGGGCGAGGTCTTTGTTTTCTCGTAATTCTTGTTTCCCTTCCTGGGCAGCAGGGAATTAATTGATCGATTCCGGGCAGCTACTCGAGCCACTTTCTCTTTTTACGAAGCGCGGCGCATGACAGACGCTTCCCTGCTGGCCCCTGCCCTGCCTTAGCCGGACCAGTCTAAAGGGATACTACACTGGAATAGGACAGGGAAGCTAAACTAGACTGGACTAGACTAGACCCAACTAGAGCAGGCGCCTCCGCCGGTCGTTCCTACTCCTGTTTTCTGCCTCCTCCTCCCCTCCCTTTCTTTCCCTAGGTATTCCCGGCCTATGTATGTTTGATCTGATCTGATTTGATTTTGTTCCTCTTCCCTTCTTTCCACCATCACCGTCGTTCGTTCGCTCGCTCGCTCGTTTGTCTGTCTGTCTGTCTGTCTGTCTGTTTGTTCATTCTGTTGACAAGAGTTTCACGCGTTTTTCAAGACCTGACCGGACGTGATTTGACTTGATCAATCACCCAACATCCATCCCATCCTACTCAACCACCATCCTGTCACCCAGTCTCGTGTCGCCTCAAACGTCATTTCCAGCTGCCGCCCTTCGTTTTCCCTGGACAGACAGAGACACGGACACACACGCACACACACGCACACACTCGCTTGGACCCAGCACACATTCATAAGGTGCCTACATCTACCCACCATTCACTGCATCCTGTCCCGGATCCGATCCGATTCGGTTTGACTGGAACGCCTCGATATTTGGCGTGCCTTGTCGCCCTTCTCCAGTCTTCTATACGTCAATCAATCGAGCCCTCCTTCTTTGGTTCAGCCGTCAGTCGTGTGCTGAGCCCGACAAAAGAGTGTGGGAAAGAGAACCTCAAAACGGTCTCTCCCCACGGATCTCGTAGCCAGCATTCCATTTGGTTCCATTCCAGCGAAGCAAACAGTGCGCCAATCGCCAATCCCGCGCCTCTTCGTCACGCATAAACTCGAACCCCAGACTGTGGACAGTCTCGCCCGGCATTGGAACATCAAACCAGTGATTGTCTCTCATCGGTGACGACTCCTCGTCAGTCAGAGTCCATTCTGCACACTCGTTGATCGACCACTTGGTCACTCCATCAAGTCGTTTGTCTATTTGTCTCTCTTTCTGATTGTCTACCCCCTCCCTCGACCGTTCGGTTATCCGCCACCGAACCGTGCTCTGTATCGATCAGTTGGCGGCAGTGTTATTGACCTCGAGAACGGAACGTCACCACACCCCTACCTGGTCACATTGTGCCCTCCACCCGCTACAATGCGATCCTTTCTCCCCCTCGGCGCCGCTCTTCTAGGCGCGTCCACCGTCCTCGCTGCAGATCAGGCCCAGTGCTCACTCGACAAGAAATGCCCGAAAGAAACGCCATGTTGTTCACGTAAGTGAATGCTGCCTATAGAGGAGAAACCACCCTCACTGTACCCTCACCACCCCATTCCCCGCCCGCCTCAGCCTCTACACGTTCCCCGGGCCCGAAAAACATTGAACTAACTCCGGCGACCTGCAGAATACGGCCAGTGCGGCGTCGGCGCCTACTGCCTGGGCGGCTGCGATCCTCGCATGTCCTTCTCACTCGACAGCTGCGTGCCCGCCCCTGTCTGCCAAGACAAGACGTACAAGATGGACTCGCTCGACAAGGTTGTTGATGTCGGCAAGTACCTCGGTGACGCTAGCAAAGCCGACTGGGTGTCTCAGGGCGAGCCGCTATTATACAATGGAAATGTCCTCTTGACCATGCCCAAGGAGAGTGTCGGAACTGTCTTGGCCACCACGGACTATCTCTGGTACGGCAATGTCAAGGGCCGCATCAAGACCTCCCACGGCGCAGGTGTTGTGACCGCCTTCATCCTACTCTCCGATGTCAAGGACGAGATCGACTACGAATGGGTCGGCACCGAACTCGAGATTGCCCAGACCAACTATTACTTCCAGGGCATTCCAAGCTGTAAGTCCTCCCGCTCTGCGCTCTGACCTAGGGCCTTTGCGTTTCTCTCTCTTCCCGTACACATGACGACATCGTCGGCTTCTCATGCTAACCTCCCCGCCACAACGTCAGATGTCAACTCCGGCAACATCTCCCTCTCCAACACATTTGACAACTTCCACGATTACGAGATCAAGTGGACTCCCGACTCCATCACCTGGTTGGTTGACGGCCAGGTTGGCCGAACCAAGAAGAAGTCGGAGACGTGGAACGAGACCGCACAGCAGTGGGACTTCCCCCAGACCCCTTCGCGTCTTCAAATCTCCATCTGGCCAGGCGGTGCGGCGTCCAATGCCCAGGGAACCATCGACTGGGCTGGCGGCTTGATCGACTGGGACTCCGATGACATCAAGAACCATGGATACTATTACGCGACCTTTGGCGAAATCACAGTGGAGTGCTACAACGCCGATAAAGCGCCGGGTACAAACAAGGGCGTCTCCTACACGTATGATGACGCCAAAGCCACGAACGACACGGTGGTGGACGGAGACAAACCCACCGTTCTCAAGAGCTTTTTGGGAACTGGTCTGGACATGGATGCTGGTGCATCGAGTGCCTCTAGCAGTGCCAGCGGCTCGAGCACCGCGACCGGCTCTTCCGGCCCGGTTGCCTCCATTCCGGGAGGTACTGCGCAGGGGCCAGGCACGAACGGAGAAGCGGCAGGCGGGGGCACCAGCGGCGACGGTTCAAGCAGTGGATCCGGTACGACAACAAGCCCGGATTGCCAGCAGACCGGCTTTACGCAAAACTGCGGCAGTGGCAGCAGCAGCGGAAGCTCTGGTAGCAATAGTGGAGCGGGCCGCATCGCCCCAAGCCAGGACAGAATTTTAGGTGCCAGCGCGTTTGCCGTTGTGGTCGCCTTCATCGGCTTGATGTGGCTCTAGAGCCTTGCGTTCCTGTATCCTGGTCACATGGCTTGCGGAGTTAAAACATGCAACAAACTTAATGGCTTTGCCTTTCTTGTACGTCTTTGAAACATACTGACCTTTATTCAACGGGTTCGCGGAGGCGCGTTCCACATTATCAGGCGTCAAATGCTGGTGGTATGTGGGTTCAAAATCATATTATTATCATCATGCTGGAGGTTGGAAGCATCGCGGAGGTTAATGGCTTTGGTTGCCGTCCGCTCCTTTGGGAACACTCTGGAAAGTATGGAACCTATTAAGGAGTGATAATTGTACATACACACATGTCTATAAGAATTCCCGTCGCATATCGCGCGCACATTTTCTGCCCTTGTCACCTCTGTTGGTAACTGTCCCTTAAAGGCTTACAGTGTGAACGATCGGTTTTCCGTCTGAGACCATTTAGAGAAGGCTAGACACCCGATCCCAGACAACAAGTCGATGAGAATAGAACTAAAGTGTCAAATTCAACGATCTGCTGACAGGATGGGGTTACAGCATTCAGTGACAACCTAGACCGTCTTTGGCACGTCACAAATAGCTGTATTCAACCGGTTTTCATTAGTATCCGGAGCAGATTTCATGTAGAAACGGTGAAAGCAGAATAATCCTAAGCATTGTAATGCCGCCCTAGATTCTGCTTCATGGTGAGCCTGGAAGCAAGCACAGCCTCGGCAGGTCACTGAGCTTTCGATCTCGAAGGTACGCAAACTTCACATCATACCTTATCTATATAGACTGGCCAACGAGCGACTCATGGCATTTCCTTCATCTCCACTATCACAGACTCCTTTCAAATGCCGGCACAACATGTCCTGTCGCGACTACAAAACCGACGCGCCATGCTTGGGATTGGAGAAGGACCTAGCAGCCAGCGGCTTTTTGCTCTCCCGATTTCCCTGCATCATTACTTTCTTCTGCTGCCTGGCCTTCGAGCACTATCGCTGGCTTGGGATGAACATCGAAACTATCATCAAATAGCTTGCCGAGTTCCTCCAGGCTATATCCTTTTGTCTCCGGGAATGTGAAGTAGATGAGAAGTGTTCCTAGTACCAGCATACCTAGATAAAAAATGAAGTAGTAATAGCCGATCCGATCCAATGCAATTGGGTTGACGTATTGATTAACCGTGAGTGCAGCCTGACTTACTAACACCTGAAGAGCAAGACCCCTATTGCGAATGCTATAAGGCAGGATCTCCGGTGTGTAGCAATACAGAAGCGGATTGCAGGCAATATTGAAGGCAGCGTTATACAAAAAGAGGAACACAATGGTCGTATAACCCGCGCCCTGGGAGTTATGTTTCTCATACATCGCGCTAGATATGGTCAGAGGGATATTGGCAAAAATCATGCCAACGAAGGAAGCGAGCCACAGGGGTCGCCGGCCAACACGATCGGCTAGAAGGGCTCCGGCCACGCTACAGATAAGGTTCCAGATAGACATGCCTCCGTTAATCCCCGTCTGCTGGTTGGTGTTCGTGATGCCGATGCTGTTAAGAATGGGCGAGAAGTAGTAGGAGATAACGCCTTGCCCGTTCCAGAGTGTTAGAACAGCAACCGAGATTACGATTCCGAATCGCCTGCGGTTAGGCCTATTGCTCAGGATCTGGCTCCATGACGCGATGTGAGTTTCCCTTTCCAGTGCCAGTGCTCGAGCAATCTCGTCGAGCTCAATGGCAACTAGCTCGTCGTTCTCGTCTCCGTTGGCGTGGTGTGTCACAAGGATACGCTTGGCTTCTTCATATCGACCTTTCGAGTACAGCCAACGAGGTGACTCCGGCATGAAGGTGACAGCAATCATGACCAGAAGGGGGAATATCGCTTGGCAAATCGAAGGGATTCTCCAGCTCCACTGCGTTGACAAGTGGCCCGTCCCAAATGTCTCCCACGCAGCGATTATGCTACCCAGGTACCAAAGGACGTTAAACTGTGTTCGTGGTGTGAGTAGTCTTACTCTAAATGTCCATGAAAATCGGGGACGACAAACCATTGATGCCATCTTTCCTCGGATTCGGGGGTGGCCAAGCTCGTTCAGAAGGCTAGGTCCAGCTGTAGTTGTGAAGCTGATTCCAACCCCCAGAACAAGACGGCCAGCTATGAATACATTTCTATTGGGCGCGGCGGCTTGGAGTACAGACCCGATGACACATAAGGACGACCCTATCTGCATCGCGCAACGACGACCGAACCGGTCGGCAGGGACTGCTGCAAATATAGCACCCGCGAAACCCCCAACGAAGGTTACTGCAGTAATAAGTCCTAACATCTCAGGTGACGGGTTTCCCATTGCTAAAATTTCCATCCGTCAGCGGTAGTCGCTTTCTCAGAGCCCAAGGAACAGACCATTCCGCCAGTGTTCCATGGCTTGGAAACTTCCCACTATGACTTCATCATACCCCACGATCATCTGCGAGACAAGAATCCAGGTCTGCCAGAAAACGAGTGTTCTGAGGCCAGCATCTCGCCACCAGGGTACCACCACGGTAGCCCCCTGGAGCGCGGATGGCCTGTCTATTGTGGTGACAGGCATAGCTGTTGAACTAGGTTGGAGTGCAGCGAATTGCTGAAACGTATCTTAGCAGGAAACAAGCCGTTGTCTATCCTGAGCTTTATAGACAGTATAGCTGAAAAACACGGAGGTGGCTATCAAAAAGCGCCGTGCTGTTTAAACTGGCAACATAGTCAGTATGTAACACGACTCGTCCGTGACTCGTCCGTGTGGTCTTCACATGGAGTGGGGCATGCAAGATATTCAAGAACTAGCAAATTTGTTGTCTAATTGGACTGAAGACTAGCCCGCAACTCGGCCGGAGGTGCATTTGACGCAGTTATCTGAGCCAGGATTAGGCCATGCCCCTGACTCGCCCGAACATGAGTTGTTATGAGATTCGAATGGTCAATGTACTCTGACAGCCCCCTCAGATGTGCTATATATCTTTTCATCCATTATACAATATCCTGTTTCAGTGAGCTCAGTATCATGCACGAAACGCCTCGGTATTCTGGACAATCACGTCGATTCTTATTTGGTATCTCTCTTGTCAAGAATGGGTAGTTACGAGAAGGAACCTCTGGTCGATATTTCGGAGGTGTACGGTGACTGGCGTGATCAGCTTATACAAGATGGCTTTGTCGTCTTGAAAAACGTCATCTCTCCGCAACGTGCCCAATACTATCTCGATAGCCTCTTCGATTGGCTCGAAACCTTTCCCTATGGCTTCCAAAAACACGACAAATCCACATGGGGTCCCGCAAATCTTCCAGCACACATGAAGTCGGTTCTGCTCACCGCGGCTGCTGCCATGAACGTTCGTATTAACTTGATTGTGAATCCAGGGGTGGCATGTACCACGGCTATGCAGTGTCTCACGAAAAGTTCTTTTGGGAGGCTCGAACGTGAGTCTACCTGGCCCCTGACCATATTCAATACCCCTCATCTCCAGCTCTCTCGAGCTGACAAGTCTTATCGTCTCACAGGGAGCCGGGAGTAATTGACGCATTCGCCAAAGTGTGGGGCACAGAAAAGCTGCTGACATCTTTCGACGGTGTAAATGTGACGCTCCCAGCACCTGATCGTGCTCCCATCGGGGCTTGGCCACATGTTGATCAGAGCCCTTTACGAAAGGGCTTACAGTGTGTCCAGGGTATATTGAATCTCACTCCGAATGGGCTGCATGACGGAGGTCTTATAGTCCTGAAGGGCTCCAGCGCGCTGAATGAGCAGTTCTTCAAGAGTCACAGTAACAACAGGGAGACCTGGGGGCCTGCCGACTGGTTTGGGTTCACGGATGAGGAGGTTGCGTGGTTCATGTCCAATGGCTGCGAGGTCACCAAAGTGTGCGCTGAACCTGGTGATCTGATACTTTGGGATTCGCGGACAGTACACTACAACGCACTACCAGAGAGCAACACCATTCGCTCTGTCTTGTGTATGTTGCTGCAATTCTCCGCTATGCTGGATGAAACTCGCTCACATAGCCAGATATCTGCTACACCCCTGCAGCTTATGCCTCTGTCGAGGATCTTGAAATTAAAAAGAGCCTTTTTCACAAAAGAATAGGAACTGTAAGTTGTGGTCATTTGATGATCCTCTCGGATGATCGCTGACAAGTGTAAGACTCATTGGCCACATGCAAATATATTCGCCAACACTCCCGAGAAGAAGCGGTTAGGTGAGATAGAAGTGTACAAGAGAACAAGGCCGGTCCAGGAGCCACAAGAGACTGCGCAGGTTCTTAAGCTTGCTGGCGTGCTTCCATATTGATGGATGGTTATCAGTATAGCTTGTTTGGATTACCCCGTAAAGGTTAATTAGGAAATATAGTTCATACAAGGTTTTCCCATGTAGACGTGACGGCCCATACCTGCTATTGATATCCTAGAGCCGATCGTGTGAATTTGTAGGTAATCATTCCCTACTGGGCTAATGACTGAATGGAAATGACGGCAAAGGCTGCCGGCACGGAAGCCGTTCGTCACAGTTGTTTGTGAGTTTCCATCCTAGCCAATACTTCGCAGAAGCGGGGCCAGCGCGAGTCAAGGCCACCGGCGGCATCCGTACATGGACCAAATAATGCACTTTACCCGAGTTCTGCTCATTCAACATCCAGCGTGGTAGAAAGGTTGGCATCAAACGAGAGTTTCACCTCACGCTCTCTCAATGCTTTCTAGACTACTGACTCGCGGACTTACAGGTGGCTAATTTCTCCTCGGTTCAAGATGGTCCGGGCAACCCAGAGAGCTCCAAGGTCCTGTGTACCGTGCACGAAACGAAAGATTAAATGCGACAAGAGCGTGCCATGCCAGCCTTGTATCGATCGCTCATCAGCTCGGGAATGCAAACGCGAGACGGTTTTAGTGCGCGGACAGTTGAGAACGGGCGAGTTTGGCGAGCTTACTGCTAAGTTCGAAGACGTCGTGCAGGAAAATGCTCGCTTACGGGCATTGCTATCTGGTCAGCACCCAAGAGAAACGGAGGACGCTGTCATTACATATGAGGGAAGCGATACTGTCGACAGTCGCCCCGAGCTTGCGGAGCGGTACCTTTTCGATCAGATCAATTGCTCGTCGAGGGCAAGGTCTGTCCGATCAATGGAAGATATCGCGATGCCATCGCAAGGCTTTAGTAATTTGATTGTAGACCATGCATTCAAGTGGTCATTCTGGATCCATTATGCTCTTTTTGTGCCGGAGTTTGATAGGCAGCACACGGACTTCTGGGAACGCTTCTCGGTGAGCAAGTCCATGGGCGATACCAACACGTTCTGGCTCGCTACGTACTTCAGTGTCCTCTCAGCAAATCTCCTGTTCATGGATGAGGATGAGATGATTGGCTTGCAGCCCCAAAACATGGACTTCATGGATCTCCTTCGAAACTGGTATGAGTCAGCACTCTATTTTCTAGACCGAGGAGATTTTATGCAAACCCTCGACATTGACACCGTGCGAGCGGTCGCCATCCTTGGAATAGTCTTCAACAATGTTGGCGATGTTCATAGAAACATGACGCTATGGTCGGTTGCCATTCGTCAAGCGCAACAACTCAAGCTGGGAATAGACTCAGCACATCCTCATGAGACATATATTGAACAGCAGAAACGAAGGAGGCTTTGGTGGACTCTGATTGTCTGTGACTGGCTACCAATCCCTTACAGATGCCCATGTATAAACGACACGGACTTTGATTGTCGCTTACCGGACGAAATCGATGATCATGAACTGTCAACGACCGCAGCGCCTTCACGGCTGCCCAAGTCAAAGCCACGCCCTATCAGATATCACATTATCATGGCCAAGGTCGCAAAAATATATTACCAACTTCGCTACAAGCTCCGCCTTCGCAAATGGAGAACTAGCGATCTTGCGGAGTTTGTTTTCTCAGCAGACGAACAGCTCGCAAATCTCATCAGCGAGCTCCCAGTCTATCTCCAATTCGATGTTTCTTCTTTTGCCTCGGAGCACCAGGAGATGAGGAATTCTTTCATTCCCTGGCAGAAGGAAAGCTTATCGCTGGTATTCCTTTACTATCGAATGGCTATCAGTCGGATATTGCAAGAGCAATGGCTTGATGGGTCGATTACCGGAACACGCACACGGGCAATCTGCATGTCCTCCGCTCGCAGCTTGATCAATTGTACCTTACACATGAAAGACTTTTCCAAGCTGCGTCCATGGTATGGTCACCCAACCTGGCATTCTTTCTTGGCTGAATGCGATGCTAACTCGCTCAGGGCTCTGGCTATGAATGTCTTCTCGGCTTGCGCGACGTTAGCGCTCGAATCATCAGGGACCGGCGAAGATTTTTCAATAGAGATCCAGCAGGGATTGGACTTTCTACGGCGCATCGGATCATACAACATCATAGCGGAACATGGTATTAGAGTACTTGAAGACCTTCTCCAAGGAACTCACGATCTACGGTGGAACATGTTCTGAGGTCACCCTATGCGTGGTCACAGAATTCGCATGATTGTATAATAAGCTCTGTCAGGCAATGGTTCTCTACCTACCGAGATGTCTGATTTTCATGGAAGTCCACATAATCTTAAGGCTTAGTCATGAATAATTGTAACGCCGTGTCGATTTCGGTCTCTCGATGAAATTCAGCTTATGGGCATTTGCATGTAAGGTGTCTGGCATTACAGCTAGTTATCTGGCAACGTGAAACAAGAAGGCCGTAGATCATATCTGTCATCACTTGGTATGATCATGCAGGAAGCAGGCCGACCCTATGACTCGGGTTACGATCCCACTTGATCTGGTCGATGTCGGAATCCCCATATACTCGTCGCGGTTGCTTTACCCCGTCTTTTGCTTGCTTGACGTAAATCCTATTAATTGTTTAAATATGCCCTAGAGCGTGTAGCTGAGCTGCGTAGGAGATATGTGGTAAAGGGGAACCTATATCGACCATCGTCAAGTCTCCTGTACAACCGTAAATGCACGAAGACAGTAGACTTTTCCCATGTCATCCCATACTAAACGAAGACGATAAGGAAA